GATCTAAATACTAATAAGGTGGAAAATTGAAAACCAAAAGAATGTATTGTAATCGCCCACGTAATATTTGGCAGAAACAGGCCAAAAATAAAAGACCAAATGCTACTAATCAACTTTAACAATGGCTTACAATTTAAAAAAATAGTAAATATTAGTTGTTGCTTACAAATTAAAAAAATAGTAAATATTAGTTTCATTGGAAGAGAGAAAACTGTTTGAAATTTATTTTATTGGCTTTATTTGATAAAAAATACAATAACCAGAATCAAACCTTCATGAATTAGAGATTTCTTTCTAGGATCTTTCTTCTGTAAGCTGTTAGCCCACAAGAAACAAGCTCTACCAAGTCGCCACAATAAATTAATATTATTCCTCAACTGCTCGTTGCTGTCATAAATCTGTATAAGTAATCTTCTAAAGTTAGCTTTATATTTATGCAATCGCTTAAAAAGTAAGCAAATAAAAGTTAATTAAAAAAAGAATATAAAATATGCCTACTTTCTTCAGTTCTTCATATGTTTCTTTCGGCTTAGCAAGCACCAATTTATCAATTTCCGTGAATTCCTATAAAATCCAGCAATAAAATTTTAATCTTTAGCATACTTGTAGTACGTCAAAGAATTGACGCAAAATTATGCAAAAATTATAGCGACACTAGTAATAATTCATCATTGTGAGAAATTACTGCAAAAAGAAATATTCAAAAAACTAACAATAATTTTGAATTTCTAAAATTAGAAGAAAAAAAAAACCATTTACTGCTATAATTCAAGAAATATTTGACAGAAATTTGAATTTCTTGAAAAAAAATTGTAGTCTTGACCACTCACAATCATATTTGACGTTCTTTCTGTGCTTATTTGATGCTCAAAATATGGAAACAATTCTTCTTCAATTGCGCACAATAATCTAAAATATAAAAAAATGATAAATAATTGCAAATTATTTGTAATAAAATCTTCACGCGCACGTCTGCACATTATTTATAATACATTTTTGATAAATAAAAGATTCAAACAACTTTTAAAACGAATAGAAAACACATTCAAAGTTTGACTGAAATAAATAATTTATTGTTATTACTAAAAGTGTTTGTTCTTTCTGAATGATTGAATTAAGTGAAATGCTAGCCAACACTTTAGATAATTCATCTGAAGCGCCAATATCTATCTGTTCTGAGAATGATGCATTTCTAAAATCATACTCACTCCACTAATCTAATTTTCGGCAAAAGCGAAACTCATTCCCTCCTGTTTTTTCAGTATCACTTTGTGTGTATATATTGAGCGACAATATATATTGTAGAGAATAGTTAAAAATCAATAAGTAATGATACATAACAATTATATAATTATGGATTATCTCGATGAGAGTAACAATCTCATACACTTTTAATCTCGCCAAGTCCAGTAGAGTGCCACTTTAGGTAAGAAATTCTGAAATGAGCAAAATAGATAAATGCCTTATTGTTCACTGACTTAATTTGCATAATATCTGAGCAGAACGTAAAAATATCAAACTGAAGAAAGTGCCATTTCAAATAGCGTTGAATGTCATATTAAATATTGAAGAATTCAGGCTTTCTTTCTAAGTTTAATCCAAAAACAACGACAATTAATTAGTTTCCTTGCGAAGAAAGTTTGTTCAAAAAAATCATTGAGTAATTTTTTGAGCATTTTTTGTATAACTTATTTGTCTGCAATTATAAATGAATTGAGAAAAAGCTTTTAAATTTGTTTATACACACAAAATAGCTTGCGATCACTTTTAGTGCTAAAAGCACGAAAAGAGAGGCAGCGAAAAAAGTTATGCTTTATGTGTTTCAAAAATGATCGCAAGTGATTTATAGTCCGTATTTTAGCTTTCAAAAATAATGTTGTAAACAATTTTTAGGACTAAAATTCAGTAAAAGTAATAAAATAATGATAGTAATTTATTTATTGTAAAAGTCGGCGAATAGTTCCAAGTTATTATTTATTCTGCGAATGATCACAACGAGTTATTATTTATTTTGCGAATGGTCACAACGAGTTATTATTTATTTTGCGAATGATCACAACGAGTTATTATTTATTCTGCGAATGGTCACAACGAGTTATTATTTATTGTTTTGCGTTGCTTAAGAACACTGCAAGGAATTTTGCAAGAAAAGTGAAAACAAAAGAAAAAAAATGAATAAATCAGCGTTGAATGAATTAGTTAGTTGATAATATTAATAGAGGAAAAGAGCAATTTAATTGCTATTATTTTATTTTATTGGCATAGTTAATGACATTTAAGACTGAATTTGAAAAAGAAATAACAAAATTAGTCCATTAAATCCATTTAAAAGCACAGACTTCCTTCCCTTTTATACTTATCTTAACTGTAATTCAATTTGTAAAGACCTATTAATGAAACAGTCTTAAGCTTAACAGTTCAGGCTAAGTATATATATATATGTAAAAATATATGGAGCTTGAGAGAGGGGCAATAAATCAGTGGAATGAATGCATTTACTTGCTTGCCCTTCGCAATTTGTTCAACTTTTCGTTGCTTGATAAATTGTACTGATAAAATGAAAATATAACACTTTTCGTAAATACTTGTAATTATTAACAGAAAAAAAGAAAGAACAGAAATACTTCAGGAATAATTTATCACATGAAAGAGTTCTCTCTCAAATATTCACTACTCATTACTAAATGTGTTCAATCGCATTCACAAATCTAATCAAAATGCGTGGAAAACTCATCAGACCAAATAAGTATGCAATAACGAAGGATGCATTGGCCTACTCTGATATTCATTCATTTCTGAAAAAGCCATGAAATGAAATGTAGAGATAAACTGACGACTACATTCTCAAACAATATTAAACTAAGCTGTTAATAATTATGCTATCTTCATTCACTCACGTCTCACTGTGCCTCGTAAATTTTTGATAGCTAGCAAACGCTTCATTACGACTGACTAATTTTTGAAAGTAGGTTAGTTTGTTCGAGTTCAAGTCTCATGACCTGGCAGTGATAACAAAGAAAACAGTATGGTTATGTTGTCATATTTCAGACTTACGACTCTTAATCTAGTATAATTTTTATTAAAAAAATATTTTGTTTTTTCAGCATTTGCAGTATTATTAATGATTGCAAAAGCACAATAAAGCATAAAATTCAATGAAGCTAATCGCGAGTTCATAGTTCAAAATTTGTAATTTATTAATTTTATCGAATATTTGAAATTTTTTGCATGCTTATGCATCTTTCCATATAACTCTGAGAGAGGAAAAAATAACAGTTCAAAGAATGAAGCAATTGTTTACACGAAATTAATTTTTATAGTGAAAGTTAATCATATGGAAGGCAAAAAGGTCCAATTATTCTCATTAATTTGGCATTGGCATAAAGTGCTGACAGATATGAAGTACGAGAAGTACGAAGGTGCCACCTGGAAAAATATCACGGGTTCGTGAAAACTAGAAATTATATTTTGAAAGATCAAAGTTGAAGAAATTACACGCAAGAAAGCCAGTAGAAGAACAATTTAGTATCACTTATTCGAGCAATTGCAAAAAAGATTTAAAAACTTCCAAGTTGATACTCTGATCGTTAGATCGCTTCTGATAAGAACATAACTTCGATTCTATAATTTGCAATCGAAATCTTGTAAAAAGATGCAATTAAATAGGTAAACTTCGCTACCTTCGTAATTGCAGTCGTCAAAATAAATCACAAACGACTCAATTTTAAAAGCACTCAAAAAGCAATTCATTAAATTACGTTACTACCCTTTTTGTGCAGAAAACAGCTTTTAAAGACATGAAATAGCAAAAAAATGAGATTTTAATGCTAAATTTTAAGATAAAATTACTCATGCGTGATATTTCAAACGTGAACGCGTTACTTAATCATTTTCGCTTCTAAAAAATAAAGACACTGCACAAAAAAATATAAACAATAACTTACGTGATAATGTTGCAGTTAGACTTCTTGTTCTCCACTTACTTTATGTTCAATATTCAATTCACTGATACGGTGATTTTTTTGTCAGTAACAAGCAAAAAAAGCTTATTCATTTCTCATATTTATTTTCTGATTCAAAAAATGAACTTAAGTCAATCAAAAAATATATTTAAATATTATTGTTGTTATTATTATTAAATTATACTTTATAACAACAATAAAATTAGTTTTCGGTGTAACTATATCACTTCCATTAAAGATTTAAAAAGTACAGTACTTATTCTTTTTAAATCACAAAAGGTACCAACACTTGCGGTCTATTTCCATATTCAATCTCATCCATTATTTCGTGAAAATTCCCTTCCCCAAACATCACAAAGAAATTCTCAGTTCTCATGTAAAATGAAAGTCATCACAACAGTGACTAATAGTATGAAATTAGTACGAGCCAAACAAATCCATCGCATTTACTTACTCTCATTATGAAGCAATACTTGACCTTATTTGATTCCACTATACTGAATTTACATCTTAAAAAATAATTTCATTATTGTTGTAAGTATAATTTAATAATAATAACAACAATAATATTTAAAAATAACAATATTCGATAATAATAATATTAATAATAATAATAATAATAATAATAATAATATATTATTGATGAATTCGCGGAGAACACAACTACAATTAATTTAGATTCTCAAAAAGCATTTTTATGAGTGCAACAAAGTCTTGCATTTGTTTTAGAGACAGAAAGACCTCTGACAGCGCTGACTTTACTTCGCTTATTTCAGAAATGACAGAAGTAACTTATCGAAAGTAATTTCGTAGTGGCGTGGCAAAATTCAATTGTGCTTGTAAGCAATCACAAACGAAGTAAAGTACTGAGAGAAACGCTAATGGCAAATTCGAAAGCTATAGAGAAGAGAACTGAAAGCAATGCAATGGCCGATTTTGAATAAATATGAAGTGAAAATTTGAAGGTACTTTGAGCAGAAGAGAGCTGAGAAATCAATACAGGAAGTGCTATGTATGCAAAAAGAAGAATTCATCTGATCAAGGAAGAAGATCAGCAGATCAGAAAGATCAACAGATCAGATGGGAGTTGAGCAATCAATTTATAGTGAGAATGGAAGAAGAGGAAGAAGAAATAATGAAAATAAATTACTTCAAAAATCAATAAATGCTCGGAAGATTCAAGAAGTTTAGCGAACAAAGTGGAAATGCTTCTCAACTGTAAATACGTCACAACATTGAGAATTCTAATGTAAGTGTAAAATTCGATTAAAATGATTAAACTCGCGCGGTTGAATCGATTATTCGTATTTTTTCATAACTCGTACTTACTCATAACTACTGTTTCTAGTGACCAGCGTTTATTTCCTTCATAGTGTGCTGCATGACTCATTGTCTAAAGCACTTAAT